CAGAAAACTTCCGCTTAGGTTACTCTACCTTACTCACTTTATAATTATAATTGTTTTAAGTATTTTCTTTACCTAAGTTAAACACCACATTGGATGGATTGTATTATAATTTTGCTTCATCCATCAAATTTGACCTAACAATTTCATGAGAAGTAGAATAGTCTATTATACTTAGTCTGTTTTTTGCCCATCCCCATGTTCTTTCCCTTGTGCAGTTCAAAAACTTCTGTTATCATTAGCTATCTCTTTAGAAAATTTCCTTTAGCCATTCTTTAAGTGTAGGCTTGCAGGCAACAAATTCTCTTCAGTTTCCTTCTTCTGAGGATTTCCTATTCATGGCTGGAATATAGTTTTGCTGGATACAGAATTCATTTTCAGCATTCCTCTTCTTCAGGACTTGAAAAATATGCTGCTTCCTTCTGGTTTAGATGAGAAATTTGCATTTATTCAAATTGGCGTTCCCCTGTAAGTAATGCATTGTTTCTCTTTTTCTGCTTTCTAGTTTTTTTCATTGTCTTTAGCTTTCAGAAGTTTAATTATGATGGGTCTTGGCATCAGTTTCTTTGAGTTTATCTAATTTGGGGTTCACTCCGCTTCTTTAGATTGTATATTTGTCTTTCACCAGACAATAAATTTTCAGCCATTACTTCTTTGAATATGGTTTTCTTTTGAAAACCTATTCAGTCCCACATTTTCCCTAATCTCCTTTTGAGAGTCATTGATATTAGCATTAAATATGTTGTTGTTATCCTACAAGTCCTTGAGAGCTATACATTTTTTCAGTATATTTTCTCTCTTTATTCAGAATGTGTAAATTCTATTGATCTGTCTTAAATTTCAATTATTCTAGCTTCTTTTTATTTTACTTAAGTTTTTAAACTGCTTGTGTTTTTCAGTAATTTCTTTTTTTTAGTAACTTCTATTTCTTTGCTGAGATTTCTGTTTTCCACTTGTTTTGAGAAAATTCATAACTGCTTCATGAAGCATTTTTATGATAGCTGCCTATATTCCTCTTCAGTTAATTACAATATCTGCTTCACCTCAGTGCTGTCTGTTGACATGAATGTCATTTCTTATTCACTTTGTGATTTTCTTGGTTCTTTGTGTGAGCGACTTTCTATAATATCCTAAACATTTTAGGTATAATGAGACTCTGAATCTTAATCTTTTTTTTTTTAAAGCAGGCAATCCCTCTGTGGAGGTGTAGCACAGAGGTCACATGGGTGTATAGGTTCCTCTTCCCTGCTGACACTTCTTTGGGAAAAGGAGGGTACTGACATACACTGCCTCATTGTGGATAGATGAAGTGGAAGTTCAGATCTCTCTTTGGCCCTGCTGACACCTTAATCAAAGTGGAGCACTGACTGACAGCACCTCTTTACCTCTGATTGAGGATGGAAGCTCAGCTCTCCACTGGGCATCATTTGATGCTATAGGGTGGGAGGTGGGGAAGGAGTGCTAACTACTTTTGCACCACACCTTGTTCAGTCCCGTTGCTATTGGGTAGATGTGGAAGTCTAGCTCCCCATTTAGCCTTACTGACACCAGGGGTGCTTACTGGAACTGACTTGTACTACCTGTTAAAAATTACTGATGCTACGTGTGGATGGAAACTCAGATCACTACTGGATCTTCATGGCAGTAACCTGGCAAGGGAACTGCAATACTGCCTGACTCTAGAGAATGGGGGTTTGGGATGAAAGATAAACTTCTTTTTTGATTCTGCTTCAGCCATGCAGGTTGAGGTGCAGTGGTTTTTCACTTAGTGTTGGGCTAGAGTTGGTTAAGTACTGCCAAAATATTTTCTTTTGTTAGAGCACTCTTTTCCTTGTCTTTTGGCTTGGGACAACAGGCTTTTCTTGGAACTTTGTGCCGGTTGTTGGTTACAGACTAGAAGCCTCTGAAGTCCTTTTTCAAAGATATACGATTGGCAGTAAGAAATTTCAAGGAGGCCATGTCAATTCCTCAAGTTCCAAGGTCTTAAGCAACCTGCCTACTTCCTTATAGCTTTCAGGGACTTTCTATTCTTGTTTATTGTTTTATCCAAGATTTTGTAAGGGGTAGAATTTGGGCGGAATAAGGTTACTACATCTTTTTAGGGCTATATATTTAAACAATTAATATTTAAAGCCATAAATTTAAAGTAAGTTTAATTGTTTTAGTTGGGAGTCATTACAATTATTTAGTCTATCATACCACCAGAAATAGAAGTCCCCTTTCTTTAAGTTTTTATAAATACACTGACTCCTACTTATCTGGCAATCTTATCTTTATTTTCAACATATCACCTTCTTTTTTTTAGCTCAACACATTATTTTTATTTATCCACAGTTTCGTTGCACTACTTGTTTTGTTGAGGTCCTCAAGACCACCTCTGGATTCAACGACTTGCTAGGACAACTCACAGGATTTAACATATACTCATACTCAAAGCTATGATGAATAAATAATGATGTTGTAATACCAGTGAAAGGATACAGCCAGTGAAGGGAAAAGGAGCATGGGGCAATATTCAGAGGAAACCAGGCACAAGCTAACAGGAGCTCTCTCTCACTGAAATCACACAGGTTATGCTTAATTCCTCTAGCAATGAATTGTGACAACACGTGTGAAGTATTGTCAACCAGACACGCATCAGAGATTCGGTGGCCAAGGATTTTACTGGGGACTGGTCATATGGGCATTTTCTGCCTAATATATACCAAGATTCAAGACTCCCAGGAGGAAAGCATAAATATTGTTTGCACAAGCAGTTTTGGTAGAGTGAGCCACTCTTATTATTTAGAGAATGGTAGGAAATCTTCCAAAAGTTCAAATTCTTAGATACCAGCCAAAGGCCAACCTTTCTAGTAGGACTTTCTAAAGATAGGAGTCACAGGTCTGCAATGTTAATTCTTTTCTGCACAAATGTGAATACCAACTGTGAATTGTGAAAACCAATCAGCTGATTATAACTGTGATAATATATTAAAAATTAAATTACCTGTGATGTTTAAAAGTCTTAACTGTAAAACTATGTTTATACCCTAAATGATTTAATAGGGATGATATTTTGATGATTCAGTACAGAAGAAAAATACAGGAGAAAAAAATGGTTAATACTTGTGGTCCAAAAAAAAAGAAATATTCCTTAATTTTTGGAAGTTATTAAAATTGTTAGTAGAGAATTATTTCTACAAAACCATTAATAGACCAATCTGGGGTTATCTGGTTACACCTATTTTCTCATGCAGGATTTCATAGAGAATCAATTTTCCTTTGTCTTTATGCATGTGATATAGAGTCTTGTCACATGGGAAGTGCACAAAGGACATGCTGAATAAATGAATGAACAAATATCTTCATCCCTTGATTTGTTTTTAGAAGTGATTTGAAGTCAACTTCTGCAGGAAGCATTGTTTAATTTATTCTAAAGTTCTAGCTGATAACAATCTTACTTTATAGTCTCTTTTTATATATGTATTGGGCCACATTAAGTTTCAACACACCCTCTACCTCCTGTCCAATCATTTCATGCATAATTCATCTTCTAAGTTAAAATGCAAACCAAGACTAGACACAAGATGGCTGGAAGGAACTCCCAATATGATCCTATTCTGGTCCATTAAACAGTAATTCTGTTAGAGGAGAAGTCTTAGACTCACCTTTACTGAAGAATGTGCTAATCATAAAGGCAAAGAATATCGAAGCGATGGCATAACACGTAAGAAAGATAAAGATGAAACTATAGTCACTGTAGCGGAGGAGTGGCTCACGGATAATCTACAATAAAATATTATGTCATGTAAAATACACAATAAGCAGAATCATATAAACACAAAGGAAGATATAGAAAATAATGGCCCTAATGAAACCGATCGCTGCCCAGTGACTGAAACTCAATGAGATGGAAAGTTAAGTAAATCACTTACTTCTCTCAGAAGGATTTACATTTTTCTCAGAGATTCAGCAGCCTCTGAGTTTCCACAGTGAAGACAATAAAAGACATTTTTCATCTTTTGGCAACCGGAGACCCATCAGTTCACACTATGATTACTTTTTTCTTCTCACAGGATAGCTGCAGCAGGTGCAATCAGCTAGAACTAAGATGCCTGATACATCATAGTCATTAACCACATGTGGCTTTTATGAACTTGAAATGTAGCTAGTATGACCAAGGAGCTGAATTTACTTTCATTTAATTTTAGTTATTTTTAATTTAAATTAGAAAATTAAAGCAGTGTCAATACAAATCAAGTCTTTCTAATGAAAATATAAGTTGAGATGTGCTGTACATATAAAACACATATTGGAGTTTGAAGTACTTGGTACAGAAAAGAATGTAAAATATCTCAGTTTTTAAATTGGCTGCATATTGAAATAATATATTGGGTTAAATTAAATTTATTAGTAAAATAATTCATCCTATTATTTTTACTTCTTAAATTTTCTAGTACCTACTGAAATGTAATATTATATATGTGACTAATTATATTTCAGTTGGACATGAAACTAAACACTTGCCTTGGTGAAGAATAACACACATATTGAAGCAATAATAAAGATATAAAAAAAAAAGAATGTGCAAAAATAGGCAGCCCAGAGCATCCAGTTTTTAATTCCAATTGTGAGCTGGTACTCCTGTAAGAAATTGAACACAAATCAAATATTACATATATTAGCAATTCATATTGTTTTCATATACATTTTTCTAATTTTGATAAAACCTATATAAATGGGTAATATCATCTCTATTTTATGAAAGTGAAAAATCAAGGCTGAGACAGTCAAGTGTGTTGATCAAAATGATGCAGTTAGTAAAGGCAGCACTGGCATTAAAATATTTTTCTCCTGAGTTCAGAGATCTTTTTTCAATACTGCAACTAGTATTTGACCAAAAGGCAAAATATCTCAAATTAAACTTTGAAATATTGAGATTAAGATCTCTTTTCCATTATATTCTACTTCCAGGAGTATTAGAAAAATGTGTCTATGTTCCTTTTAGAAAATTCAACTATTAATCAGAAGTCAGCTATACTTCTTATGCTTGTTCCTTGTAGGCAGTGTGTCTTTTTCCCACCTCTGGTTGCTTTTAAGACATTTTCTTTGTCTTTGGTTTTCACCAGTTTGAATATAATATGTAATATGTCTAGGTGTGTGTGTGTGTTGTGGGGGGTACTATCCTGGTTTGTGGTCTCTGAGCTTCTTTGATCTGTGGTTTGATGTCTATCATTAATTCTGGAAAATTCTATCATTATTTCTTTAGCTCTAGTCTCTCATTTCCTTTATAGGATTCAATTATATACATGTTATACCATTTGATAATGTCATATACCTTTTGGATGCTCTCTTCTAGAATTTTACATTTTCTCTTCTCTTTGCATCTCAGTTTGTATAATTTCAACTGTCTTGTATTCATTTCTTTCTTTCCTCATCATGGTCAAGCCTACTGATGAGCCTGTCAAAGGTATTCTCCATTTTTGTTAGCATGTGTTTTATTTCTAGTAATTCCATTTGAATCCTTATAGCTTTGATCTCTCTGCATTACCTATCTGAACTTGCATGTTATCTTACAGTGCAGAAAAGAGTTAACACAGAAGCCTTGAGACTACTATTATTAAGAAGGATGTTTGCAAAATTGGTCTTTGGCTGGTATATGGAAACTTGGTGGGTAAACTGTTCCCTATACTGATATAAATCATTCTCTAAATGGTAAGTGTGGATACTGTGCATAAACTGTAGAAATTTCAGAAAAGGTCTTAAGGATCCTGGACACATCTACCTTTCCCTTTAGAGCCTTAAATTATTAATCATAATAATTTTTAATAATTTTTAATTCCTTCTTTAATATTTCCATCATCTGTGTCTTATCTGAGTCTGATTCTGACAGTTAATTTGCCTCCGCAGACCATGTTTTTTGTTAGTTTTGGTGTCCCTTACAATTTTTTGTTGAAATTGTTATCTAGGAGTAAATATGAAGGTAAACGGGCTTACAATGTGAGGATTTATATTAACTTAGCCAGGAGTTAATTTGTGTTTAAAATTCACTGTTACTTTAGGTACTAGAGACATCAAATTCCTGTAGTGACCTTTGATTGTCCCCCCTCCTTGCCCTCAGGTTTTATCTTTTTGCTGCTCCTCAGAGAGAGTTTGCTTATGAAAATATGCAAGTTTGGATAAATGATAGGTGGCATCAATGTTCACTCTTCATGCTCTGTAGTTTTTGCTCCTGGGATGTAATTTGCTGTTATGAGATGTAACAACTAACCACCAATGCTGAATATGCAGAAATAATCCAACTCTCCATACAACTGAGTTCTACAGGCCAAAAAAAAATCTTTATAAAAACTTTATCAGAAAATAATTGGGATTACCTTCAATCTGTTTTCTTTTTCCCATACAATGGATCGCACGATGGAAAGTACAGTTGGAGAGAACATGAGTATGAACATCAGAGGGAGGAAACTACCAGAGAGCCAAATTAATCCGTCATGAGAATAAGCTGGGTATGGAAATCTCTGTACAAAGATGCTAATACCATCAAACAGCTTCTGTCTAGCATTGCTCTCATGGTACAGCATGATGGCCTTATCTAAGGCATGCTGTACAGCCAGGAACCCTTCTCTTATGTACCCTATATGATAAAACAATATCAAATAAAACAGACTAATCAATGGCTCAGACACAAAAAAGAACAAGGCAATTCAAGTCAGTCATAGCTTGTAACACACATAACTTAAATTTACTGTTGTATCATGGCCAACTGAACACAGTTACTCTGAAAACCTGTAATAGTTTTGACATAAAAGTAAGGGCTACTTTTTCAGATGAATCTGATTCACATCTTCCCCAAATTAAATATATTTAATGAAAGTTTCAGGTAGGCTTGCTAAATACAATTCATATTTACAAAAAGAATGCAGATTTAGTTAAATATTGGAAGATGAAGACATGGAAATGTAAAGTTAACAAATGAAGCTCAACAGACGTGTTATAGCGAATAATACAGTATGGCCCCCAAGGGAAAATGTTTCACTGAAACTAAGTCATCCATAAAACTAAAAGGCAGTTTACGATTTAATTTGCTTTTCTTTTACCATTTTTTCCACTTGAAATGTGTTTTTTATTTACAAATCTGGAGTTTTGTGCATTGATAAAATAAGTGAGAACTGAAAAATAATAATTTTTAAAAACATTAGGTGATGCTGTTTCACCTGGGATAAACTCAAATTGGTTTTTGTTTTTTTGTGTTTTTATTGGAGTATAGTTGATTCACAACATTGTGTTAGTTTCAGGTGTATAGCATAGTGATTCAGTATTTTTATAGATTATACTCCATTGACTTATTACAAAATAATGGCTATAACTCCTTGTATTATAAAATATATCCTGTGGCTTATCCAATTTATATATAGTATTACTTAATCCTGTAATCCCATGTTAATTCTCTCTCCCTGCTGGTACCCACTAGTTTGTTTTCTATATCTGTCAGTCTGTTTCTATTTTGCTATGAACATCTGTTTGTTTTTATTTTTTAGATTTCACATATGTGATATGACACATTATTTGTCATTCTCTGCCTCACTTATTTTACTAAGCATAATATTCTCCAGGACCATCTATATTGCTGCAATGGCAGAGTTTCCTTTTTAAATTTTTTATGGCTGAGTAATATTCTATTGTAAATATATTGATGGACACTTGGGTGGTTTCCTTATCTTGGCTATTGTAAATAATGCTGCCATGAACACTAGAGGACATGTATTTTTTTCCAGTTAGTGTTTTCATTTTTTCCAGATTTATACCCAGAAGTAGAATTCCTGAATCAAACAGTAGTTCTATTTTTAGTTTTCTGAGGTGCCTCCATACTGTCTTCTATAGGGGCTACACTAATTTACATTCCCACCAACAGTGTACAATGTGGTTCCCTTTTCTCCACATCCTTGCCACATTTCTTATTTGTAGACTTTTTGATGATGGCCATTCTGAGATGCTATTTCACTGTTGTTTTGAATTGTATTACTCTGATAATTAGTGATGTTGAGCATCTTTTCATGTGTGTTGGCCATCTGCACACCTTTGGAAAAAATGTGTATTCAGGCTTTTTGCCTATTTTTTGATTGAGTTGTTTGTTTTATTGATATTGAGTTGTATGAGCTGTTTGTATATTTTGAAAATGAACCCCTTGTTTGTCACATCATTCACAAATATTTTTTCCCATTCTGTATGTTGTATCTTCATTTTGACATTGGTTTCCCTTGCTGTGCAAAAGTTTTAAGTTTCATTAGGTCACATTTGTTTACTTTTGCTTTTATTTCTTTTGCCTTAGGAGACAGATCCAAAAATTATTGCTATGATTTATGTCAAGGAGTATCCTATCTACAGTATCTACTAGGAGTTTTATGGTTTCAGGTCTTACATTTAGGTCTTTAATCCATTTTGAACTTACTTTTATATATGGTATGAGAAAATGTTCTAATCTCATTGCTTTATATGCAGCTTTCCAGTTTTCTCAGTACCAGTTTTGAAAATGCTTCCTTTTCTCCACTTTATGTTCTTGCCTAGATAAATTAACCATATGTATGTGGGTTTATTTTGGGGTCTCTGTTCTGTTCCAAGGATCTATGTGTCTGTTTTTGTGTCAGTACCATTTTGTTTTGATTACTGTAGCTTTGCAGTATAGTCTGAACAGGGAGTGTGATAACTCCAGCTTTGTTCTTTTTTCTCAAGATTGCTTTAGCAATTTGGGGTCTTTTTTAGTTCCATATACATTTTAGGACTATTTGTTCTAGTTCTGTGAAAAATGTCATGTATTTTGACAGAAATTGTATTAAAACTGTAGATTCTGCTTGGGTAGTATTGCCTCTTAAAAATATAAATTCTTCTGATCTAAGAGCATTGGACATCTTTCTTTTTCTTTGTATCATCTTTAACCTCCTTTATCTATGCTTCACAGTTTTTATGGAAACTTTTTTTTCTGTGGATGGATTGTTGTGTTTAAGTTTTAAAATATCAAAAAAGTTCTTTTGTGGTGATAAAACTGAAATATCAAGCATAGTTTCCCATTCCTCCTTTGATTAATGTAACAGATATCTTAATTTTCTACTTACTTCCTTGTCAATCTTTCTTAGTCTTCATACTCTTGTCTCCTTTCATTTACTCCTCCTTAATATGAATGTTACCAAGCAAGTAGTCCTTATCCTCCCTTCTCTTTATAATGTTTCCCCACAAATAGTATGGTATTAAGGAAACATAAGGGTAAACTGCCTGTTCTCAAGTAATATTCCACCCGAAGTCCAGAAGTGAAAAGATAAAATAAAATCCAGACATCTGAGGCAAAAAAGCCATTCTCTGAAATATCTTGATCAATTATAAAAATTGTGAAATATAAGTCACAGTCTTCTCTGTTCAGCAATAGCACAAAACAAAAATTCTGTGTTCAGATATAAACAAATACCAAAGACATCTATGAGTGTCATCAGTTGGAGAGATGTATTCACTTTTATATCAGTTCTCCTATTCATGTTAAATATTGCTATGCCTCTGTCTCTCATAACTCCCAGGAGAAATTTCATACTCCTTCACTTTACACATTAGGTCTTTATGACCTGTTTGTCTCTTAGTCTCATCTCTAATAACCTCCCACATAGCCCTCTATTCTAGCTACAAAAAGGAAACAAACAAAAGACCATGTAGTTCCCTGAATGTGGCATCCTGTTATACATGTGTTAATTGATCATAGTCCCGCTGTGTGGAATAATTCTCACCCATCTCTATCTAGCTAATTGATATAGGCACTTGTAGATTCTGTTTAAATTATTTCTCAACAGACTTCATAAAGATTATTTTCAATGATTGTCTAATAGATTCATCTATTCTCTTACTGGATATACTGTGTCCAATTTTTGTTGTTAATGCTATAATGTGCACAGCTTTTTTCTTCTACTGAAAATTTGCTACACAAAATCACAACTACATAAAGGCAAATATATTGGTATAATAATTGAAAGAGGATAAAGCATAATACATATATGAATGTGTATATATATTCTATACATGTATGTTAGATTTACCAAGTGTATAATATTGAGAAGTAGTTTTACTATAATATAATTAACTTAAAAATTACTACAAGTTAAGAATAATCTGATTTAATATATATATTCATGTACATATATATACATGTATAAGCATGTGTGTGTATACATATATGCAACTGTGATAACAAAATGAGTATACTTAAGGATCTGCTCACCAGGACTTCCTCCATCATTATGATCTGGGTTCCTGGGTCCTGGAGAGGGGTAATTAGGAAAAAGGAACGATGTTTTCCAACCTATCCTGTCTGGCCACAAGATAGTCCTCTGTATCCTAACAAAACGCAGATGATATTTTACCTAGAAGTAGCAATAGGAAATAAACTATAATACCAAAAAAAACCCCTGAAAAGCAAATATTAGAAATAAAGGAAAGTTAAATCCAGTTGGGAAACCATATGATCTGAAAGATGGGATCCATCTGGTGTCAAAGTGATTCTGAGTGCCTGAAAATGACTGTAACTAAGCAAAACAAATACATTCCAATCTTATCTACATTTGAAGTTCTCTCAAAATGCAGACAGTTCACAAAAGCAAGATATAAATATGGCCCATAAATATATCAAAGTCTTCTCAATGTCACACACTGAAATAAATGCAAATTGAGACTACAGAGATATCTTTCTTACCTATCACACTGGAAAAATCAAAAATATAACAACACACTCTGTTGGCAAGGCAGTAGATAAACAAGCACTTGAAACATTGCTTTCTGGATGCAAAATGGAACAACTATAATGTAGATCTGGCAATGTTACACTACATATGCATTTATTGTTTGATTCAGCAATCCTACTTTCAGGAGCAGATTTGGAATATATACTTCAAATAGTATGAAAAAAACACATATGCACAAGTTTGTTGAAACATTATTTGTGGTGGTAATACAGTAAATTGGAATTAACCTAATTGCTCATATATAGGAGACTGCAAAACTATTATATCTATACACAATACACAGTTTTGTATCTGGTTCAAGGTATAGTCAGAAAACAGACATCCTGCTAGATAACTTAGAGATAAGAGAACTCTACGGTATCAGATAGTGACAGCAGGAAGCAGCCACTGGCCTTAGGACTAAGGGAACAAAAGCAAGAGTTTGGAATTATTAACAGTTATAAACGTAAATGAGACATCTGTGCAGCTGAAAAAAATCAAACCTTTGAGGACAGGGCACAAGTCAGCTAGTACTCTGTCTCACAGTTAGAAAGAAGGGGCTTTTGGATCAGAACCTGGACATCTGAGATAAAGTTCCAGTTGCCTAGTGCTGCTTATCTTTGTGAGGGTGTGTTAGCCTGATTTTTAAAAGTACTGGGCAATCTGCAAAATATATTTGGCTGCTGCTATAGGGAGAACATGCTACTGTCAAAAAAAAAAAAAAGAGAGAGAGATTGCTGGGATGTCATTCAAAGCAACTACAAGCAGACAGAAAGCCAATAGGAAAGCTCAAGTTCCTTCTTCCCACAGGCTTGCCCCTGTCTGCCTTTATCAGCAGAGTCTCACATATAGTTGACGGAAAGAGCAGAAATGTAGCTACAGCATCAAAGAGCAAAGTATAGAAGAATGGATTTACGGTTCAAAAAGAAACAAATTTAGTGACTGAAAAGAATGCTATCGTTTGCATAAAAAAGGCAAAATGAGGTATGTGTATGTAATTTATACTATACAGACACATAAATTTAAATGTATGTATCTATATAAACCTGTATATATAACATCTATATACTTTATGCTTATCGATCAAAATATTTAATTTTTGGATGCACTGCAAAGAAAGTTAGAGACTTCAACTTCAGTACATGTCCACCAAATGAACAGTTCAGCATCTAGTAGAATTCAATATTTCTTTTCATTTCTTATTTGAGGTAAAATTTACATACAGTAAAATGTATAAATCTTAACTGTACATGAGTTTTAACAAGTCTGTAGTTGTTGTAACCCAAACTACTATCAAAATTAAACATCAACCCAGAAAGTTCTCTCATGTCCTTTCCCAGCTGATCCTGACCACACTCATATATATAATTTTTCTGATACCACAGATTAATTTTGCCTGTTGTAAAATTTCATATAAATGAAATCAAACAGTATTGTACTCTTTCATATAAGGCTTCTTTTACTTAGCATGATGTTTTCGAAATTCATTAACGTAGTTTCTTTTTTCAGTAGTTAATTCCTTTTTGTCACTGAGAAGTATTCCACAGTACGACTATAACAGAGCTCATTAATTCTCTGGTTGATGGATACCTGGCTGCTGCTAATTCTGGATATTATGAATAAAGCTGCTAAGAACATTCCTGTAAAACTCTTGTG